AGAAAAAATAGAAAAAAATGATGACATGAAAAGGGTCTGGAGATAGAGATAAATGAGGGTGGAAGAAAGAGACAATAAAGATATTGAAAGTAAAGGAAAAGAGAGAAAGAAAGAGAAAAAGAAATGGGGAAAGAGAGAGAGAGACAAAGAGAAGTGGAAGAAATATGAGTCAAAGAGAAAGAAAAAGAGTGACTAAAGGAAAAGGAACAAGAAAAGAGAAAAACAGAAGTGAAAGAAGAGACAGAAATACCAGAAGAAAGTATGTATTAGGACAATCTGAATGACTGTATCTTTATAATCCTGCAGCATTGGACATAACACCTTATTGGTTAGCACTAACACAATGCAATCAGCAGATGTTTTGATGAAAATCAATATTGAGATTGGAAAGGCAGGGACTGGGATGTCACTGGTCGCATTGGAATATACATATATGCATTGAAATCGGGTGGCGATCTACACATCCTCAAGTGCTGTTCTGGAATCCTCCTTACCACCACAACCACCACCACATTTTGCTATTTTATGTTCTGTCAGACGGATCTGGTTCCGTCTCTGTCCAAGAAGCAGCCATACTGCATTAATATAAAAAATTGGATTAGATCAGCAAAGAAAATTGAGACTTAAGTGGGATAAAGATGAATGGGGTTGTGACAGGCAGGATGTTGTTAAGCAAATCGAGTCACAATTGATTGGAATATTCTTGTTACAAGTAATTAATGAGGAAGGAAAAATGGTGTTTTTCTTTTTTCTTTTTTACACTTTCCTTTGGGAATTTCCAAATGAAATAGCTATTTATGTATAGAGAGAAGCAAACAAAATGACTAAGTTGTTTCTGTGAGAAAAGAAAAGGTTTGGTTTGTTTTACAGTATATCAACCTTTTCCAAGTTATTTACTACCGAATTCTGTCATTTAGATGAACAATAAATAGGTAGATATATGTCCAATTTGCACAAGAGTCAAAAAGATAGAATATAGGTCTGGTCTGCACTGGAATCAAAAATTTAGATATAGCTATATGGTAAATGCTAGCCCCTTTGTGAGTGGGGCTTAGTTACCACTCTGCATGGGGATGCAGTCAGCATATTCTTGACCCCATTTGATAGGGAAAAGAAAAGACGTTTGACAAGAAAGAATTATTGGTAAAATAGAAAGAGATATAAAAAGAAAGTGCAGGGATGATTCTGGGATTTTCCACTTTTTTATAGCTGACCAAATAATCAAATATTGGAATTTTTGTTCTTTGAAAGGCTTGATTAAAAAATCAAGCTGATAGCTTTTCAGCACCCCCTTGTATTGTCTAGTGGAAATGCATGCACAGATAATGCTCACTGGTAGCAGACTGACTCAGTGATCAAGGTAATAAGTTTCATGGTATCTACTTGTTAAATTGCATTGTTATGTAATGTTGTGCTGAAAAAGCTCTACAATTACGATAACTTTATGATCTTTTTTCCTTGTATACCTGCATCAAATTTGGAAGTTTGGCAAATTTGCTTCTGAGACTATGTAGGAAAAATTCTTAAATGGGGACAAATGTTTTTGTGTAGTACGCACATTCCAAAGTTGGTTCTAAATGACGAATGTTCAAAGCAACCAATCATCAGGCAAACACCAAAAAATGTGGAAAAAAATGTCTGAATTCATCTATGAAGAGGATTAATTTAAATAATTCTAACAAATTACCTGAAACTAAGTATGATGCTTTGTATGCATGCAGGAGTGCAATCCTTATAATAATATTAACTGATGAATATTCAGGAGTTCAGCCTATGATTAAAGATTAACTTGAATTGGCTGTTGAGAAAAGATTGCAAGTGTGTTCTAATACAATATACAATGGACTGTATTCTACACTTTATGGTAGTGAAGTTAATTTCTTTTTCTTCCTCGGCAGCAACCATGTTTTGAAATGTTATTTGTCCTAACTTGGCATCTTGGCTTCAGTCTCTTTCCCATTGCCATAACATAGTTTTTCTGTGCTTTTTCTATTTTCATGGTAACTGTTCTGATGAACTTTTCACTATAGTGTACCTAGACTTTAAGCATTTAAGCACAAAAGTACTATATTGGAGGCAAGGTCTCATCATTTTACTGTTGAAATGTCTAGATATGACCATAAGTTCTATGCTAACAGTTTCTTCTATCTCACTGCTCAGTTATGTAACCATTCTGGCTCCTTGATTTCCAGTCAATTTTGATCTTTAAAAGTTTAAATGCAATATCAATTGTTATCTTCTGTCTTCTTAATTTTTGTTTTTTTATTGTCCTTTCTCCTTAATAGTAGTTTTTCTCCAACACTCAATAACCCCTTGCATCCTAGTGGCTTTATTGCCTTGCTTGGGGGTGTGTGAAAGAATTAAAAAGTTCTCTCTTTGTGCATCACAGAATTGACCTACTTGCAAGAATAATATATGTAATTATTATCTTATTTTATGTGAAATATATAATACATATTTCTATTATAAGGACACTGTCTTTCATAGACAATGATCCTAAACTGAGTTGCTGTGTGTCACTTGGCGAGGAGATCTGTTGAAAATAAATCACCTTCAGGATATCCTGTTGAAGCAACTTTTGTAAAAAAAAAATACAATAAAAATAAAATTAAAATCTTGAAGAATGTTTATGGACTCAGAAGCCTTCAAATGTCCCTTCATGAACCTACTCCATTATTGTTTGAATATGTAACAACAAATTCAAGAAACAATTTTCATAGACAGTTATGAACTGGAAATGAAAAATGTTTCATCATTCCTCATCAAATTTTGAAATCTAGCCAATTCTTTTGCCCCATAATTGTCTTCTGCTAGAAGCAAGTAAAAGAACAAAAAATGGGTAGAGATTAGTCAGGAATTGGTAAATTAAAAAAAAAAATAAGTAAAGAATAATCAATTCAGTGGCTTTGCCAAGGAATAGACATGAGGAAAATGGAGTATAGGTCATTATTCTGTGGCCAGATGGTTGGATGAGTAGGAGGAAGTGACCAGCATGTGAGCACAGGTGAGAAATAATTTAGAATTGATAAATAATTCTTAAGGCCATACAGGTGGCAGAAGGGAAAAATTATCATGTGGAACTGATTGAAGTGTTGTCTCAAGTTCCAAATATATTTCATGATACATCTTGGCCTTCATGGTCTTGCCAGAAGTTCTGCAATAAAATATTTTAGAAATTATTGTGTACGTTTTCTATTGCTACATTTGAGGTGAGGTGCTCTTTAGTTTTCCTAATTCTATCTAAAGGTTAAAAATGAAATGTTGTTCATATTCCATAAATTATTTAAAAAAGAAACATCATCTGTTTCTGTTAGGAGACTCTCTAGATTTCTTCAGGTTCATGAATTAACAGGTACACTTCAAATGAGATGAGTGAATATGAATAAGTAAATAAAATTTCTATAGTGGTGACTACTAAGATATCATCTTGTATATATATATATATATATATATATATATATATATATATATATATATATATACACACACACACATATTTTTATTTACCCTAATTTTTACACACACACACATATATATATATATATATATATTTATATATTTATATTTGTGTATTTAGGCAGCAAATTCCCTTTTAGGCATGTCTGATTAAATAAATTACAGATATTATGTCTGCTTATTTTTAACATAATCTGTTCATACTCATGGTTAACCTTCTGTGTTTTACAATCAAATGATGCAAGGAATGTGCTATAACTGAAAATCACTTATTTCCAAAGTACAGAAGGAGATAGAAAGTACTTTGGAAATAGAAGCGATTTTCAGTTATAGTGCATTTCTTGTATCATTTGATTTTAATACACAGAAGGTTATCCGTGAGTATGAATGGATTATACTAAAAATAAATGGACATAATATCTGTAATTCATTTTATCAGACATGCCTAATATATATATATATATATATATATATATATATACACACAGACACACACAATAAAAATATAGTTTTATAGTTTTTTGCTATGTTTATGAATCAAAGTGCTTGATATCAGGGATAGAGCCTATGTAAATATAAAAGTGGACATTAAGGTCAATACCAGGTGGTTACAGCCTGTTTCATGCTTAAATGAAATTGTCAGACCATTTAAGCATCAAACAGACTGTCACCACTGGGTGTTGACTTCAATGTCCATTTCTATATATATATATATATATATATATATATATATATATATTTCTTCAATTACAAATTAAGACTTTTATATGTATATATTAAGTATAAATTTGCACATCAAAAGTTAATAAAGAAAAAATAAATAATGTTCAAAGGAAAGAGCAGGAAAAGCGTAAGAAAGATAATGAGGAGACATTAAAAAAGAATAAATAGGGAGACATCAAGGAAGAAAAAATTATGGAGAGAGTAAGACAGAAAATGTTGGGAGATATTAAGATTTCAGATCACTGAGTCAATCTAGTAACATACACTCCTGTGAAAGTCACTGAGTATGTTTTGTTTTGCAAAGTATAACACGTATATACAAATAGAATAATGCTTGATCATAGAAAATCAGACTACTTGAAACTGCTATAACTAATAAATGCAATCAAACAATATGGCATGGAATTGATTGAATAAAGAAGAGCATATGGCTAAAATTAAGATGACTGCATCTGTTTCTACAAAGTTTAAAAGCAACAGGAATAAGAAATAAAAAATTACTAATAATAACAGTGATTCATCTAAGGAATTCAGACAACTGTTATGATAGTCATTCACAAAAGCTTCAGCTAGCTTAATCCTTAATCAGTTCTTCAGGAAATGATGAAGGAAATTGAGCATGTTTCATAAGATAGTACAGAATATACAATTTACCTTTAGATATCAGGAAATGAAATAGAAAATTCTCATTTGTAAAAGAATAAAAATAAAATCCTTGGTTCAGATATTTTCAAAGCCATTAACATTCAGAAACAATGTTTTATCTTTTGAAGCATTGAACATTAAAAAAAAGGAAAAGAAAAAAATTTTGAAGGACTTACTTATTGAGATCCAACCGGATTTTATACTTCTTTCCAAAAAGTTCCAGTTGGATAGTAACACACCTGTGATGTTCAAATGTTCCCTGTAAAAAGATAATAGAAAGAAGTTTACCATCTGACATGAAAGGGTTAGCTTCACCTATCACTCAGTTCACACACACACCTCAGTATATTGAACAGAAGTAGAGGTTTATCTCTTGTTTCTTGTTTAGGATTGGGTTTCCAGTTCCTTCTAAAGTCTTCTAATTCTCTTTTAAACCCAATAATCCATTGTATCTTAGTGGCATTATAACTTACTTGGGATGAAATGATTGAAAAAGAAAAATTTTCTCAACGTTATTGTCAGGAAATGTGGTTGTCTATCTTTCTTGGAAATACATCTGTCAAGAATCTTTTATGCAAATTGGTGGCCAGAGGGGACCTTACAACACATGCAGGAAATCATGGGGTTACTCAAAAGTATCTCACTTCTCAGTGAGTTTGTGTACTATATGACTAATGACCGACTCAGTAAATCAGCATTAGTCAAGTGCAGATTTTTTTGACAAAATCTGTCAGTCCCCTAACAGTCCAGTTGCTTGAGACTTCCAATTATCATTGTTGGAAGGAAAGAGATTTTAAACTATGGACAATTTAAAGAGGTTACAATAAAGTTATATTGAAAGAGGACTCTACAAACTGAAAATGTGTAAAGAACAATAGGATAAATTTGTGCAGACCCAAATGGAGTACTTTTAGTAGGATTTATGTGCCATTTCTCTAGATAGACTATTTTTTCACTGTACACACACAATCAGTTGCAGTGTCAAATATCACTGACATCTAATAGCAAATGAGGTGTAATGTATTGTGAGCAGGTGTGTATATGCTAGAATGTGATTATCAAAGAATCCTACTGGTTATTCTTGCTGGCTGTGGTTTTGTTGATTGGAAGACATTCTCCAATGACAGAATGTGAAGTGAGTAGCCAGGGTCAAATGCAAAATAAGTAACAGAACTGTCCAACAAACATAACTGACAAAATTTGAAATAATAACAACAAAAAGAAAAGAACAGGGCCAAAAAATAATATAAGGCAAAGCAACAGTAACATGGCAAAAAGTTCACAAACTAAGGATTGGCATTGGCACATTGGCAAGTTCGGACAAGCAAATGTAGCGTTCTCACTTCAAGACAAGAAAGATCAGGACTGTGTCAGATGAAACTGAGAACCAGGCTATTTTATTGGCTAGGAAAAAAATCCCAGGATGCATTTGTGTACTTCTGCCTGTAAAATGGGAAGGGGAAAGTAATTTGCTGTCATTCCCACTTAGATTGGAATCAACACAAAAATTACAGAAAAATAAACACTTATAAAAATAGTATCTGTCTATATTTCTGAGATGAGGTATTATGTACAGTATTTACATTATTCGGACTGTTGTCCTTATCTTTGTCACCATATTTATCACAACGTTTCAGCCGTTGTATGCTCCGGCCTTCTTCAGGTCGTTGGAATGTTGAACTGAACCCTTTATTTCGTTCACTGGGGTAGACTGTTCTAGTTCCATGTGCCATGTCAGTTATCTCCTGTTAATTTCGCTCTGAAAGTTCTCCACTGCCTTAACCAGGTATTGGGTCCTGTCACTGGATCTAACCAACACCTTTATTTACTGTGTCCTTCAGGACATCTGTGTATGAATTTCTGGGTATTATAAACCAAATGTCATCAGCAACCATTTTTTACCAATGCTTATATTGCAATTTTTGCTGTTATCATTGCATGTTTTTACCAGAGCTCATATTGCAATTTTTGTTATTATCACTTTTCTCTGGCACTCCTTATTACTATAAAAACACATTGACAGTTTAATACCATTGGCTGTCAAAGGTCAAAATAACTCTTGGTTGATTTCTACTAAGATCTTGAGGTAATGAGAATGGTCAACTGCAAGGTTAGACATTTGTAACTGTGTGTTGGAGATACTTTCAGCTTGAGGAGAGAAGATAGAAAAGCAGCATCCTCTCTGGACACAACAAGAAACTTCTCTGGCGGGAACTAACAAAGCAACTAATGGCTCTGACTTATATAGACATTTATCTGAGGGAATGATATTGATGAATGCTATCTTCACACAAAGACTTTCCTGTTAGGATGCTAGATGTCAATACTGAAAAGTACTTTTGATCAGATATGGTCCTTCCAAAATGCCTCCAGTCAAATTCCGAGTTCAAAAGTTTTGGTAAGAATCAATGTAAATTAAGGAAATATTTTGTTATGTAAACAATTCTCAGACTCTGCAGAAGTTTGGTAAACATATTAATGTTATCACTACAATTTCCTTGAAGATAAGAAGTTGGATAGGGAAAATTCAGTTCTAGTGAATTTACTAAAGTTTATTTTAGGTTGAAATACTACTGATGATTTCCTCATAAGCATTTTATAGGTTTTGGTCAATATTCTTAACTGAAACTTTTCCCATCAGGTTCCAATTTGGTCAACTAATCTTCCATACTTTTTCTGTCTATATTTCTGAGATGAGGTATTATGTACACTATTTACATTATCTGGACTATTGTCCTCATCTTTGTTGCCATATTTATTACAACATTTTGACTGTTGTATGCTCCGGCCTTCTTCAGGGGATTGGAATGTTGAACTGAATCCTTTATTTCGTTCACTGGGGTAGACTGTTCCTTTATCCACTGTGCCATGTGTCCTTGAGGACATCTATCTATGAATTTCTGGGTATTATAAACCTAATGTTTTCAGTAACACCTTTTACCAGTGCTCATATAGCAATTTTTACTGTTATCAACATGTTTTTACCAGAGCTCATATTGCAATTTTTGTTGTTATTATTCGCTTTTCTCTGGCACTCTTTATTACTGGTTCCCATATTGTATTCATTTCTATGCTTGGTTGGCTCAGGAGATTTTTGTGGCCTAGCATATGTGCTGATTCTTTAAGATTTATGAATTTTCCAATGGTGTTCTTTGTCTATGATCTTAACATGATTCCCAGTGAGTGAAATAAAGGGTTCAGTTTGACATTCCAACCACCTGAAGAAGGCTGGAGCGTACAACAGCTGAAATGTTGTAATATGGTGACAAAGATGAGGACAATAGTCTGAATAATGTAAATAGCATACTTTTTCCAATTAGTATTTTTACTTCTTAGAATTCTTAACTCTTATTACCTCAAGTCACTAAATGAAATTTCATGCATTATTATGACTCAATCAAGACCACTTCTCTGTTACACATTAATATAGTCATATATGATTGTAGCTTTCCAACTTCAAGACAAGAAAGAACAAAAATATGGCAGACAAAGAAGTGGTCCATTTTTATTGTTTAAGGAGAAATCCCAGCATGAATCTGTAGGATTTGTCTATGAAGGATTTTTTTAGCAGTTATTCCCATTGAATTAGAACCAACAGGTTCTGGTTACTATTTTCCAACTAAACCTTCCATCAGGTTCAAATCTGGTCATTTAATCTTCTATATTTTTTTCCATTTAGCATTCTTACTCCTTCACTGACAATTGTTAACCCTCTCAATACCTGAAATCACTAAATGATATTTCATGCATTATTATGACAAAATCAGGGCCACTGCCCTGTTATACAGTAATATAAAGTTATTATCATTTCTAGATACACCAAATATATATGCGTATGTTTGACCATTATGAAAAAAGTAGATCCAAAAGTAACTTTTTTATCTTAATCACTCTGACTTTGGATGGTGGATTTTATGACATATCATTGTTGTATTAAAGTTGAAATCAACTTTTTTTATCAGCAACAGGCAATATAAGTTTTGTAAAAAATATAGAAGTATGTTTACAGTGGTAGAAGGGCTGAGAATAAAGCACACACAAAATCTGGTGGGCATTAGTTGAACATGAGTGGTTTATGTTTCATATAAATAACAAGGTATAAACTTAACCAACAAGTTAAGACTTCTGAAAAGAAAATATTTTATTTTTTGTAACAAATTACCTAATATTTATTTTGATTAACAGCATTACATAGAATGATTACTTTTCCACTTATATAAATGTAAAAACAGTTGGCAATAATATAAGTTACAAATGGTTAATTTGATTAAATAATGCACTATTGTTTGTGTCATGTAGCAATAATTGTAAGTAACATGATGCACTAAAATAAGTAAAAGTTTTAATTTCTCTGAATGTCAGTTTGTTTATTTACCTTGCCTCACTTGTTCTACTCACCTCCTAAAAAGCAAGTTTCATAATTTTTTTTAAATTTTTTTTTATTTCAGTGGAAGTGGTTTAATACCAAAGCATATTTCCTCTTTTGGGCAACAAATAGACACTGTAATCTATTTTTCCAAATTTCTGGCCATAACTGAATTTGGTGAGAGAAAGTATTTTTTTTTAAAAAAATAACCCAACTGTTTCCTTCAAATTTTTCACTCAATCTTTCATTGATTAAAAACTGTCTGGAGTTAGTCTCTCCCTTCTCTGTCAATCAATGAATAGTTAGCAGCACACAATATAAAGATTATATATAATTCATTCAAAGTATTGTTAAATTCACTTGACAAGGTCTTTCGATTTAATGTTCTTTTGCAATTTTTAATAAGATGTACATCAAGATCAAAATTGTCGATAAACTGTCCAAAGTTTATACTTTGTTCTAGTACATTCAATTGCCTCAGTCATTATCAAAAACTGGGTGTTGTCAAACAAGATTAAGCTGACTACATCCTGGCATTTTCTTACAGTACTAGAATTTGAATCAATCCAAAGTAACATTATATATAAAAGTTAAAATGAGTTTGACAGAAAAACATTTATTAAATATTTATACATATTCTTATTATTTCTTGTACATATATTACTTTTATCCTGATTCACATCTTATTCAAAAATTATAAAAATACAATAAAAAATTAAACATAACTTGTCAGGTGAAGTTAACAAAATTAAATATATATAATAAAATAATAACAATAACAACACCTATGTAAAATTATCATTTCATGTATCTTAAAGTGAACAGAATTTTTACCAAGAAAGTGCTCAATAGCCATCTAGAGCAATAATTATTATATCAAAAATATTAAAAATTAATGATATTTATCAAAGATTGACTCAGGGTTTTATGGACCTTTTTTATATAATAGATAGATAGACAAGGACAAAGAGAGATAATATTGAACATAGGAATCAACACTGGATGGTGATTGTGAGTTTCAAATAATCTTCAGACCATGTGTCACTACTCCTTTAGTGGACTTTATTTATAGGCCACTTAAAGTTTAAGGAAAAAGGGGAAAGGTGGAAACTGGCCCTTCCAAATGTTTTTATTTTTTTAAGGCTAATGCTTTAGGTTATTTACAGATATAACCTTTGCTTATTTTATTGATTTTATAAATATATTAATCATATGATCTTATCTAATTATTTTTTCTTCTCTTTCAGTAGGAATATATAGGTTCATCTATTGTTTGGTTCACACTCCTCCCTGATCTTTTGAACAGGAGTAGAGGTTTATCCTTTGTTCCCTGCTTAATTCTCTTGTGTTTTCCCAATCCTATCAATCTTGACCTCTTCAAGTCTAAAGTTAATCATCATTTTTCCTGCATGGCCCCAAGATCTTCACTTCTTGCCCTTTCTTACACTCATACAACAACACACAGTAACACTCTACCTGGAGTGCCTCTTGCACCTTGTATTGTGAACACTGGTAAAAAAAAAAAATCTGATATTTTTCAGCCTCTCTTATGTATATCCAATTTCTCAAAAAAGAAAAATGTAATCTTGTTTTAAATATAAAATTTGATCATATGATCAGATTTAGAACTTTCCAGTACGTACTCATAATGGTGTTCCAATAACTTGGACGGATTTTAATTGTAGATTAAGTTTAAGCATCTAATGATTTTTTTTCTTTTTCTTTCAGATTCAACAACTTAAATTTTTGGCAATTTCAACCATAGAAAGATTAGCAATCAAACAACATGTTAAAGTTATTGAAGCCTATTACGAAAATGGACGTTCAATCAGAATTTGAATGAAAAGTTCCTAAGTCGCATCATCTCTCAAAACAGCAAAGTCAATTGGCCACCATAATCATGTGACTTGACACTTTTAGATTTCTTCCTTTGGAGTCATCTCAAAAGTAAAGTCTATGCCAACAAGCCAACAACAATTCAACAGTTGAAGGATGAGATAATAAGGCATATTGGTGAGGTCGAGGTGCAACTATGCAGAGACGTCATCAAAAATTTTGACCATCGAGTGGAGGTGTGCTGCCAAACTTTGACATTTGGGCGATATTATTTTTCACACATAATTGCCATGACTTAAATAACATGATCCAATAGAGAAATAAATAAATTTTCACCAATAACATTGATTCATTTACTGCTGACTTTGATCTGTCTTAATGAAACACCCTTTATTTTTTCCTTCCTTGGGTGTCATGTATGATGCACATTGGGTGATCATGTCTCTTTTTGATTCATGATTGACTTGGCAGAAAAATTCTTGCAATAGAATGCTGTTAATTTCTGCAGCATTCTGGTTGTCAACCAATGCTATAGGAATCAGTTTTCTCTGCTATTTAAGTAATGGCTGTGGGAGAAGAAATGACTAACAAACTCAACTGGAATTTGAACTTGTTTCTCCAATTTCTCATTTTGAACCATTATCCATCACACCAGCCACATATACAAGCTTACGGTAGTTGGTATTCCCAAGTGGTCTAGGTACTGCTAATTTCTGTGATTGGATAAGAAGAATTGATGTTTCTATGTGATATCGCTGTAAGTTTAAATATATGAGGAAAGGTTGAAAAGTTCATAGGCTGACTATGAAAGAGTGATGCTAGAGCTGTGAAATCTTACATGCTTTAATTTCAAATCGTCTTATTAATAACTGCATTGTTTCTTTCCAGGTACAAGAGTTGGCTGAAAATTTCATAGGCTGACTATGGTTGCATGCTTTAATTTCAACTCATTAATAACTTCATTCTTTCTTTCCAGGAAAAGTGACATCTGACTGTTCAAAAGTAACTAGTAGTGACTTCTCTTGAAAATGGACACAATTTGGCATTGTGGGGTTATCAAGTAACTGCAGAAGAAGGGTTTAGCCTCGAAGGACATATGTCGATATGGTTGCTACATTAGGGGATGACGTGCAAGTTTTATCAACCATGCAAAAATGGGCAGCTGAATTTAGGAGGGAAGAGAGTCTTGAAGATGACCCAAGGTCTTGACATCCTGCAACTTCCACCACCAAGGAAAACATTGATCTTGTTCATTACATAGTGATGGATGACAAGCGATTGGCTATAAATCAAATAACCATTGCTGTTAGCATATTCTGTGAGAGAGTTGAGCATATTCTGCACAATGAACTCGACATGATATAAGTTTCTACCTGATGGGTACTAAGTTTTCTGACACCTAATCAAAAGTGCACCAGGCTGATCACATCATGGGAAAATCTGACATGGTTTGAGGCAGATCCAACTGGTTTTCTTGAACATTTCCTAACCTAGGATGAGTGTTGCATTTATCACTTTGAGCTAGAGACAAAGAGACAATCCATGTTGTGGAAACACTCCTTCTTACCTGCTCCAGAGAAGTCAAAGTTCATTTTATCTGTAGGGAGGCTGTTAGCTTCAGTTTTGGCAGAAGCAAAAGGCATTGTTTTTATTGATTATCTCCAAAAGGCCACATCTTCAACCAAGAGTACTATGCCAATTTGCTGAGGTAGCTACAACACACTATCATGATCAAATGCTTAGGAAAACTGATGAAACAAGACTTGTTTCATCTGGACAATATTCCAGCACACAAAGTTTTTGTTTTCAATGACTACTATGCATGAATGTGGCTTTGAATTGGTTGATGACTCTCCCTATTCTCTGGTTTTAACTATCATCTGTTCCCAAACATGAAAAACACTTGCTTAGGAACCAGTATCACAGTGATGATATCATATCTGCTGTTGATGACATTTTTGACCAACAAGATGAAAGATTCTTCACCAACAGGATCCAAGCACTGCAACACTGATGGAAGAACTGTATGGAACACAAGGGGGCGACTATGTTGAAAAATAAACCTCATTTGTTCACATTTCAAGAGAATATCTTGGTCAGTCTATGAACTTTTCAACCAACCCTCATACATATATATCTGAGATTCAAAGATATTATTAGAAGTCAATCATTATAGTTGTAGATTAAAAGAATTCTCATAATACTGAATTGATTACTTTCCTCCTTTTAAAGGTTTATAAATGAAGAAAGTCTTCCTCTGATCTGATTAATTGGAAATCTTAAGGAGCTAAGCAGATTAAGATTAGGAGGATTTGCTAAAATATTCCAACTTAATGATCTAATCTTACTGACAGCTATTACCTATTTTACTTTTCTTCTGGTAATCTCTCCTAAATGGACACCAGAAATGAACAAATTGTTGAGACATAGACTTTTATGTTTCATGATTTATCATGCAATGCCTAAACAACAATATCAACAATTTATAACTGAAAAATATTTTGCAAGTGATTTCTGTACAAAAGGCAACATTAATACTGGGACAAATTACTATAGATTTATAAAGGGAGCAATTTACTAGAAAAATTTTACACAGGAAATAATTTATGGAGATAAATTCAGAAGAAACAGTTTTCTATAGAAATATACAAGAAAAATAGGAGTGCATGTTGAAAAGTTCTTAACTAAATCAAGAAGGGATTCCAAAACAAATTCTGGTATTTAGACAAATTTTGAGAATTTGGCCAAATCAAGAACTTTTCAGTACTCCCTTGTTCACAGAAAACAATTTACTAGAAAATAAACAAAAAGCAATGGAAACAGTGTACTATGAATAATGCACAGGAAATAATTTAAAAATGAATAAGAGGTAATTTACTAGAAAATACACAGGAAAATTTTAATATGGAAATACACAGCGAATAACTTAATTTAGAAATGAATAGGAGACAATTTACTATAGAATATACAGGAAACAATTTATTATAAAAAAATATCTATGAAATAATTTATTGTAGAAAATACACTTGAAACAATGTATTTAATACAATCATTTCTAGTATTTTCAAAACCTGGCAAATGGTTAGTTACAGAAAAAGCACTTCAGGTGGCTTATTGCAGAAAAAGAAATTTGAAAATTTGCTGTAGAAGTGATTTGGTCCTTACATGGTGTCGTATTCGATGTTGTCTGGTGTTAATACCAACGATTGTGTTATGTCGTAGTTGTTGTGGGTAGACAATTTGGTAAGGCTTAGGGATGCTGCTTAAAATCATGCGATTAAATTCAAACTGTTGTAGATATTCATTCATTTCCTGGGTAAGTCCACCTGAAAGAAAAAAAAAATAGGAAGAAAATTTAGTAATCATCTGAAAAGTTCAAATATGCATTTTCTTTCATGACAAGTTCTAAAGTCAACCAGCATTTTAAATATTAGGACATTATAATCAAAACATTTTCTGGTCAGCTGAGTTTTTATCCCTCAGACAATTTAAAGACATCAAGAATGACTTAATGGTGCATTTACTTAACAAACTACAATATTCAAGGTGGATATAAAATGGGGTATTAGTTTTGCATTATTTTTTAATATTATTCTAATCCCCCATTTTATGACTATAACAGAAACTATATAATTCTCTTGTCCAAAGAATGAAAGTAACTCTGAAAATTGATATCTGTATTTGATTAAAAAGCAAAAATGTTTACTGCTGACATAAAATGGGGGATTAGTTTTGCATTATTTTTTAATATTATTCTAATCCTCCATTTTATGACTATAACAGAAACTATATAATTCTCTTGTCCAAAGAATGAAAGTAACTCTGAAAATTGATATCTGTATTTGATTAAAAAAGCAAAAATGTTTACTGCTGACATAAAATGGGGATTAGTTTTGCATTATTTTTTAATATTATTCTAATCCTCCATTTTATGACTATAACAGAAACTATATAATTCTCTTGTCCAAAGAATGAAAGTAACTCTGAAAATTGATATCTGTATTTGATTAAAAAGCAAAAATGTTTACTGCTGACATAAAATGGGGGATTAGTTTTTGTTGTATCCTTAAGGAGGTTATAAACAGACAAAGGTGGTTCTTGAGTGAAAGGAACAGCAACACAGGCATAGATGAAAGAAAGAGTGGTTTCTTGTAAAAGAGAATATACTACTGAAAGACAGGGAACTGGTTAGCAAGCTAGTAATTCCTGAAGCAAGTCTGCCAGGTATATCCTGTGCACACTATGTATATCTACTGATATAATCAGTCCACAATAGGCGATAGGGAGAATGGGACATTCCATTACAAGAGTTTTGAATGATTCTTTTAATATTATTATTATTTCTTTATTATTTATGAATTGCCCTGATTTCTCAGGAAATACAATAGAATGGTTTCCCGTTGCTTCTTCACAGTTTTTGAATTCAGAATAGTCCTTCTTCTAGAATAGTTGTCATCCAACACTAGATTCATGTCCTTTCCATTTTGTGCTCTTGTCCAGAGAATGAAAATAACTCTGAAAAACATATTTGGTACTGATACAAAATGGGGTGTTTTTGCATTTTTTTTCGTAAGTATTCTAATAGATTTCTTCTGACAAGAGAATGAAAGTAACTCTGAAAAACATTTGTGGATATTAATTTCAATAACATGTACGAAACTATTAAACTCTTTAAAATATTAGAAATTATCATTTATTTATGTTATATACCATACCTATGAATGCTAATTGGTATGTCCCAATCCTCATAAATACATAGGACACTATTGTGAGTGGAGGTAATATGCTGTCTAAGTAGTCCACCACTAACAATACCACGAGTATTGTATTTTGTTGATGTTATAAAGATTACCATTTCATTTCCAACCTCAGTTTTGGTTATTCCTCATTCAGTAGCCTTTTCTAGGTTACAACAATTTACTAAGCTTAGATTAGTCTGGCACAAGGTTAAAGTAGTTGAGTGCCCAATGAGGATTGACCTCATAATAGCAATAGTTAGTAAGCTATTAGATTAAGCTTGATCATTTAGTGCTCTGTTATAGTAATCTTGTGCCAGACACAGTAAATAGCAACTATGGACTCCTGCTGTAAAGTTTAACAAGCTAGTTTTGTAGAGTATTGCTAATGGGGAGAATTCAACTCTCACAGGATCCCCCACTGTTATGGCCTTGTGTCAGATTAAGTTATCTACTTTATATCTGAAAGCCCTGAAAGATTTAAATGAAGATATATGACCTGGGGGACACTTAAAATAGAGGGTTATGTTAACGAGTAGTTTATACAGGAGGGGGGGGGAATAATCTAGACTTGAACAGATTAAGATTGTAGTGATCAGGGAAAACATCCTCTTGGGAGTTGGTTCTACAGAGAAGTTGTTTGCGGGAAGAAGCTGTTCAAGTGGAACTTCTCACTAATGGAATATGAAGGGTTTGCTACAATGTAAGTGACATGGTGGGTCCTAGCTTTGAAGGTTAAACCTGGTAGAACCAAGGAATGTAGTTCGTCTGAGTACTTTTATAAACTCTTGATTGAAGACCAAAAGTCTTTACCTTGTAAACATACAACCAAGTTCTTTTCTCATTCTTTTACCAAATCATTCCATATTATCTTTCTATGATTGTTTGTACTTGTGTGCACCAAAACTGGGGAATGCCTGGTATATGCTCACAAGAGAATGAAAGATAGAAAACATGAATCCTGTTTCTAATATATTTGGTTATTTAGTCACATATATGGCAGTGAATGCTGGACAATCTCCTCAAGGATGAAGAAAAGACTTGAGATAACAAAATGTGGTTCTACAGAAAGATGCTGAGAATACCATTGACTGAACATGTGAGCAACAGCAAGGTTTTAGAGAAAATGGAAATTTATACTTAACATCAAAAAGAGAGTCAATATATAAAATAATAATAGATAAGCAATCTAAGGGTAATTATGCTTAAGCAAAAGAACTGGGTGGGGATAGTTTCCTTCTTCCCTTAATTTCCAATGTTGACCTTTATATACAACCCAATGAATAATTAATTGCACTTGGTCTCAAAATTTTAGTGAGATGTCAAACTGGCATTCACCATACCATGTTAATTCCTATGTCCACATTGTCTATATAAGTTATATATTTAGTAGATAATAACAGGAGTAGATAGGTTTGTCTATTATCCAGTTCACATTCCTATTCAGTCTTTTGACCAGGAATAGAAGTTTCTCCCTTGATTCCTTTTAGGATTGGGTTTCTGGTTCCTTCTAAAATCTTTTCATTCTCTTTCACTCCAAGTATTCCCTTGTGTCTTAGTAGCATTATCAGCTTGCTTGAGGTGAACTAACTGATTTAACAAAAACATATGTTTGAATAGACATCCCTGTTTTTTAAACAGTGTAACTTTATGTCTACTGGCCTGTGCATTCAAGTCTTAATAAAGAAAATGTAGGGTTTGAAGCTGAATTGCCTTTATAGAAGAAGCCACTCTCTGATCTTTTATCTTATCTTACTTATTATAAAATCCAGGTTGTGTTTGTGTGTCTGTACGTTTATATATTGGATCGGATTTCCTACATTTTTCAACCGATTTCAACAAAACTTCACAGGACTACGTAAAATTACCTTGCGGTGGTTCTGACAGCGCCAAAAATTGGAAAAACACAATTGTTTTTGCACAAAATCAATTTGAAAACACGATAAAACACGATTCTGTCACCAGAATGAAAGGGGGACAACTCATCTCGAGTTATACTTATTATAAAACCCAGGTTGTTTGTGTGTGTCTGTGTTCGTTTATATATGGGATCGGATTTCCTACATTTTTCAACTGATTTTAACAAAACATCACTTTTTTTTGGCAGATAGTGTTTCTTATTGTCTTGCACACTTTTTTCTTTATTTTTACATTCAGAATGCTTTAAAAATTCCATTTACAAGACAATTGTTTATAATAAAATTCTATTCAATCGGTAGACTCATAACGATTGAAAACAATGTTTTGTTTGAGTTTGGGTTTGACCAATTCGTAAAAAAAAAAAAAAAAAAAAAATAATTAAGACATGCGTGTCCGTCAACCTTAAACAATAATCTTTGTCAATTTTATTTTTCAGTCTTTATGATGGTCGATAATTGATCTATCTCTTACTGTTACATCCCTGGGCAACGCTGGGCTCTACTGCTAGTGCTTTATATATATGACAGTTGGTAACATTTGTTTGATTTATTAGAAGTTATATACAATTGCTTCCAATGACTTGCAGTTAATTTATTTCCCATGAATAACTACCCAAAACATATGAACAGCAGATAGTTTTTAATCTTTTCCCCACCAACCTTAAATGGTTAAAGTCTATTGTTTTAAAAAGTCTTTTCTCAGTCATTAATTGATAAATTACCTGTTTACTTGGGCGGCATTTTAAAAAGTAGCAATATGCAATTTTGAATTGACATTCTTCTCATGAATTGCTCAATTTGGCCCAGCTTATTTTAAAAAGTCACTCCCAAATTTAAAAGTTCTAATTTAGTAGCACTGGCATTTGAAAAGCGGCCTCATTTAACAACACTGGCTCCAAGACCGTTTTCTAGAGTCAAGAAATGCATAGAATATATTGTAGCAAGTGTGGGATCTGTTTATAAACTTTTGAAGCTACCCTTAAAGTAACAACTTTTTTTATACTAAAATTCATTCAATACAAGGCTGGAGAACCACTCAAGGTAGAGGGTTACTGTGAAAATGGTAATGATCAATGAAGTATGGGATATGAACAAAAGAGTAGATGTTTGAGAAGTGGGGATTACAAGGATAAATAATAATTAACCCTTGACTTGAAGAGGATAAGATTGTAATGCTCAAGAAAGCATCCATATGGGAAAAGGATGTTCAAGTGGAACTTCCTCCTTACAATTGGAATACAGAAGAAATGAGTGTGATTTGACTCTGTGAAAATAGCATGGCATGTCTTAGCTGTAAAGTTCTGAAATGATAGAACTAAAGAAGTGAGTACATCTGAACATTTACCATGGAAATAGCAATAGAGTAGCAATTTTGCATTTGGGCAAAAGACAAATTATAAATCAAATAGCACTGAGTTTTTAAAAGTAGGACAAGCTGGTAAATGCAGTGCTCACAAAAATCAATGAATATGAACACTTCATATGAAAATCTCAAACACAGACTTGAACCTCTTAGACAGAAGTCCCATAATCTAACTGCTAAAATGTGCAGTAATATGAAATAGTGAATTAGATGCATGTGTATATTTTGAGGAACGTGTGTGAACTTGTATCCTCAGGTGAAAATCCATTTTTCTTCCTTTGTTTCTATTCCAAGTCAAAAGGCAAACCACAATTGTTTCTACTGACAACTGCAGGGTAAGGAACTTTCAAAGAAAAACATTACAAAGATAGCAGAGGGCATGAAATCAGAAAATAAATCATTGTGCAAATGGGGAGAGTAAGGAGGAGAGGAATGGAGAGCTGCAACTGGTGTAAAAAAGAGAGAAAATCACAAGATTGATGCTACCAAGAGAAAGAAAGAAAGACATTTAATAATAACAAAAGAGTGGTAACTGTAAAATGAGACAAAGAATTAACAATGGGTGGGGGAAAAAGAAAAAATAAGCAGAGATAGTTAACAATTAGAAGGAAGAAATATGAAAAATACCAACAGAGAGAAAAAAAAAAGATAAGAGAGTAGCAACTTCCAAGAAAGAAAGAGAGGTAGGTAGGTAGGTAACAGAGAGAGAAGAGTAGTAATTACCAAAAGAAAGAAAGTAAGAAAGAGTGGCTAGTGAACAATGAGAAGGAATTAGAGTGGAAACTTCCAAGAAAGAGAGATTGGTAACAAATAAATAGAAAAAGAGTAGCAACTCCCAAGAAAGAAAAAAAAATAGAGGTAATGAACAAAGAAAGAGTGGCAGCTCCCAATAAAGAAAGAGAGGAATTGAACAAACAAAGAAAGCGAAGAGTGGACCCCCCACCAATAGAATGCTTAGTAACAAAAAACAGGAAGAAAAAAAAAAAACTAGAAAAAGAGGTAACAAAGAGAAGGAAAAAGAGTAACAACTACTGAAAGAGAGAGAAAGGAACAGAGGGAAGAATAATGGCGACTGAAAGAGAGATAAAAAGGAGAAGGTAACAATTATGAAGAAAGAAACAGATAATAATGCAACTGGTACAATTAGTAAAATAGAAGAATAAGAGACAGGCAATTAGAAATCAAAACAAAAAAGGTAGACAACTCCTAAGATAGTTGGCCTTAAGAAGAGAAAAATAATTTTTTTTGTTTTTACAAATAGAAAGAGAAAGTATGCCAGTAACAAGAGAGAAGAATAAAGAGAAGCAATTTGCAAGAGTAAAAGAGTTACAACCAAGAGAAAAAATTAGTTAGCAATATGTGGAAGACAGAGGCACTAAAAAGTGAGTTTTCTATCAAGAGAAAGAAAATTAACAATGGGAGAAGGAGGTGTGGTAACTGATAAGAAATACAGTTATGGGTTCAGCAAAGACAGACTACTCTTATCATAAATAATTGTATCTCCTTGTTAGACAAAGTGACATGATGGTATAATAATTGCAATACAACTAGTATCCACAAAGTTATCAGCAGTTGTATTAACACTGAGAGCAATACAGCAAACTTGACATTTACAAACAATATAGTTGAGACCCATTTATAGAGAAAGAAGATAGCAATTTATAATTAATTTGCATATCTATAGTATATACACATATGAGCTTTACCTGAAATGGACCAATAACACTGAACTTTTCATTCAGCCCGACTGTTTTGATGTACCCTTTGTGAATAATATGGCATAAAATGCATGGATACCATACAATAGATCATATAAAAGTAGCATTTGTTAATAATTTTATTCAATGCATTGTTTCACATTTATTGAGATGAATAAATTTTGAGCTTTTCAACAAGTAAATCACTTCTATGAACCGTTTCAGAGTGACACACACGTCATTTCCAGCTGACAGTCTTACATGAAATTTGGTTTTGATCAGTCACATTACTGAAAGACCTTGTTTCCAAGTATAAGGGGATGGAAACAGCAAAAGTCTTTCCATAAAACCTCCCTGATCTTTTGAACAGAAGTAGAGATTTATCTCTTGTTTCCTGTTTAGGATTGTCTTTTGGGTTCCTTCTAAATTCTCTAATGTTTCTACCTAAACTCTGAAATTTATTTGGTTTGTTGTTCTTTCTAGAGTCTTTTTCCTTCTCTTTCCCTTCCAGTAATCCCTTGCTTGGAGTGAATTGATAAAAAAAAAAAATATGTTTTAGGCACAGATGGGTATGATTTCGCCATGGAACACCAAAAGTTTAGTAAGAAAGAGATTTTAAAAAAAAAGACCTTTGGCCAAGGAGTTATTAAAAGATAATACAAACTGATTTTGATGACTATCGAGAAGAGATCTCAGATTAATTTGAAAGTGATTCTGAATGAGTTGGTAATAAAAGGAACAATATATAAAGCAAATTAACTCTTTCTATCAGGGTAAGAAAGGTTTGTGAAACTTCTAATCATAAAAAGAAGTGAAGTAGAAGAACATGAGATGGGTAACCCTGGGAATGTGTGAGTGAAATTCATTGAGTATAAGATTTTAGAAGAGGTTTGAGAAGCTCTAACATAGAGGTTTATATTAAGAAATGGACAAGGTCCGACAATTTATTTATTTATTAAAGACATTTTTATGTTTAATCTATAAAATAACAACGTTAAACATAAAAATGTCTTTAATAAATAAATAGAGGTTTATATTAGAGAAGAAAATTGGAAGAAAGATTTTTTTCTATATTGTTTACTTTAGAGTTTTTCCCTTACGTATTCTCGCCAACAGTTTTATTTTATGTGTTATAGCTTTTCAAAATATGGGCAATCATGACTCCTATCCTTCATATCTCTTAGAAATATCTTTCTTTTTATTGTCCCTCCATTCCTTCTTTTGCCATCCATTTACACAGGACAGTTTCATTGCTGCTTTCTTCTGCCCATCTTGCCTTCAAGATATCCTGTTAGTGTCAAATTTTACTGGCCTTCTTTTCTCAATATACATCCCAGAGATTTCAACTGTTTCTTTCTGATTTTATGTATAACTGTACTTTTTGTTTCTAGGCTCTTTTAAAAAAAAAAACTTCCTTACTGCTCACATGATCCATCCATGGTATTCACAGTATGCTGTAAAACTACATCTTTATTGCCTCAAGTTTTCTCTCCATCTGTAAGGAAATTGTCCAGCATTCACTACCATATAGGTGGATTGATATTACATAGAAGTTCAACACTTTTTTCTTGGTTTCTAATGATATTTTCCTATTTCTTAGCACTTTCTTTAGTCTTTGGAAGGTTGCTTTTGGATTTTAGTGTCACATTTTCCATCCTCTATTAAGACACTCCCCAGATATTTGAATTTCTGTACTTGCTTGATTTTGACATCTCCAGTTCATAGGGCTTCCTGGCAACCGTATATTCTGTCTATTTACAATTGATAGTTTGTCCTTTCTTCCTGCTTTTCTTTACTATCTTATACAGGAGATCCTATAGTTTTCCTTCTGTATCTTCTTTGTCAACATGGTGTCATTTGTGTTTCTTATATTGCTAACATTGTGACCCCTGATAATTCAACAAGAGAAATCATGTTTCCAGGGGAATTGAAGAGATCTCTCTGATTTTGGAAGTCCACTATGACCCAATCTTACTACATCAGTCTTTATATCTATCTTACCATGTTCCTCTATTTACATTTCTTGATATCAGTTCATGTTGTACATAATGTCTGACTTGACAGTCAAAAGAAATATAAAAAAATGAATGTCTGATGATGGATGTCTTTTCCCATAATTCATAGTATAGAGTTATCAATGGTGTGAGCATACTTTCAAACTTGACATTTATAAATAAAATCAAAGTAAAGATAACTCTTTAAGTCAGGGATTGATTTGATACTGTATTTATATTATGAACAGGAGCCAACTTCTAAAATGATGAAAATAAAATTTAAAAAAAAAAAAAAAAAATCAATATTTTTTGATTCTGACAAAAGTTGAGGGTAAAAGTCCTAATGAATGTGAATGTACAAAAATTGTTAGAAAAATTCTTCCCAGTTATTTACAAGCATACTAGTTAATTAAGATATATTTTTTGTTAAATTGTACTATCTCATAAAAACCAATGAATATTTCTGGATGGTTCTGCAGAATTATTATATTTCTAAATTTAAAGAGCCTCACATGTCGTCTTCATCTTTAGAAAAGTCCAGCAAGAAACTCAGTCAATGTGTTTGTACTCTGATGATATAACATACATATCCAAAAATACACATTTATCATTTAGATAGTTTAAAATAGTGAAAATATTCAAGCTATTAAAGTCAGATATTATAAAATGATTTGACATTATTATGTAAGCTGATTCACCTCACTCTCACTCTGTCGGCCAAGTTGTCTCGCTATAATCATGCCAGTCAGCCAACTGATTCACCTCACTCTAATCATGCCAGCCAATTTGCCTTGCTCTAATCATGCATGTCAGCCAGCCAACTGATTCGCCTCACTCTAATCATGCCAGTCAATTCACCTCGCTCTAATCATGCTTGCCAGCCAACTTATTCTCCTCACTCTAATCATGCCAACCAATTTGCCTTGCTCTAATTATGCTTGCCAGCCAACTGATTCACCTTGCTGTAATCATACTAGCCAATTCACCTCAATCTTACTACACCAGCCGATTCTCCTTGCTTTTATCAATGCAGCCAATTTGCCTTGATCTTACTACACCAGCCGATTCTCCTTGCTTTTATCAATGCAGCCAATTTGCCTTGATCTTACACTATTGTAACCTAGAAAGGGTTACTGAATGAGAAATAATGAAAACAAAGGTTGGAAAGGAAATGATAATCTTTAATAACATTAACAAAATACAATACTCGCTAGAAGAGTGAAGTAGGTAAACTACTGTCAGTAGTGAACTACTTAGACAGCATATTGCCCCCACTTAGCGTCCAATATATTTATAAGGATTGGGACATACACATTAGTGTTCATAAGTACGGAATATAACACTATATAAGCTGATTCACTTTGATCTCACACTGCCTACTAGTGTGCCATAATCTTACTATGCCAGCCAATTACTATGAAAGTCAATTCATCTCAATCTCTCAATGCTACCTGATTCACCCCAAACTTGCTATATCATGTGATTTATATTGATGTTACTCTTGTCCTGTCAGCTGGGTCTAGTCTATTCCCATTGCATATTCTAATAGGTGGGTGCTTGAAGACTCGGGTGTAAATGACTAATGTCTACATACATGCCCAAAAACACAACCAATGTTTATCAATAAACACAAGTACAAACATGACCAATGTTTACCTATAAACACAAGTATAAACACAACCAATGTTTATCTATAGACTCAAGTATAAACACAACAATGTTTACCTATGGACACACATATTATAATAAAATTGATTTCAACATTATATAACCCATTAAAAATTGATATGTCATAAAATTCACAACCCCAACCCACCATCTCATGTTGTTGGCCAATACATATCTGTCATAATTGTTCTAAGCTAGTCTACGTATATTTCTGTATGGGCATATCCATCTGTTCTTATATATCTAAGGGTCACATGACCCAGTCTGTGAGTTTGAAAGAAAATATATTCACCAATATCTCTTTGTGTTGCTTAGCAACAACCATTTATGTATAATCGATATTCGGCCCATTTGTCACTGAAAGCGTAAAAGTTAACATGGCTACCTGAACCAAAAAAGTAAAAACAGGATAAAATAAATATTTATAAATTTCATAAAAGGTTCTGGGAAAGATTTTTTTTTGGTGAATTCACAACTTGTCCTTTCAGGTTTGAGTGCTTGTTCAAAAAACCTTTTCTCAGTCATAGTTTGAAACAGAAAAAAAAAAAAGTGTTGTCATGATTGCTGATAGGAGCAAAAAAAAAAAAAATGGTTTTGTAGATTCTCACATTGAAACCTCATCTCCCAAGATTCAATTGAATTTGACACTGAAACAGCAGTTTAGCTAAGAATCCCCCCTCCTAAGAAGATGTATGGAGACATTGTCCAATCAGCTTTTAATTATGCCCTGTGAAAGAATTTATGGTTTGAGTGAATAACAAATAATCAGCTCTAACACATTACATTCAATCATTTTTTTTAAAACTTGAATTCACTCATCTTTATTTTGCTTACCTTGGTTGAAAATAAGCATTCACCCACAAAAATTCAAAGCCTGATAATAAAAAAAATTGTTTATTTCATACACAAATATTTTTCAACACAATCTCTTTCCTTGTCAATGCACTTAATTCAGTGATGAATATTAACCATACAGATTGATCGTTGTATAGTAAAACTTTTAAATCAAACTCAGATAACTATGTGTACTTATTAATCAACCCTTTATAGAAACATTATATGGCTTGTGTTAGACTCAGTTGTGGAGAATGGGGCCACAGACTCACCTCACTAGATATTACTGATATGGTTTCTGTATTAAATAAGTTTTTATGGTGTGGAGGCATTATAAACAAGCAAATATAGTAAATCAATAAGTCCATAGCTTAATGAGGGTAAAAAACTTATTTTGTACAACAAATATTTTTCAATATAATTGCCTTCTTTTAATGCAGTTAAATTGGTGATAGCGTTGTCACATGCACACACTATATATAT